TTTATTTATTTATTTGAGAGAGAGAATGAGATAGAGAGAGCATGAGAGGGGGGAGGGTCAGAGGGAGAAGCAGGCTCCCTGCCGAGCAGGGAGCCTGATGCGGGACTCGATCCCGGGACTCCAGGATGATGACCTGAGCCGAAGGCAGTCGCTCAACCAACTGAGCCACCCAGGCGCCCGGAAGTACAACAGTTCTTGAAGCCATTAAATGAGCTACTACTTGCACTCTCACAGTGGTGCAGTATTGTAAGCTTAAGGCTTCCTTCTTTAACTGTAGGAAGGCTTGCCTCTGAAATCTTTAAACCATTGATGTGATGGGGGAAAATTACATATGAACCAATGATATTATTTTCTTATTTTCCAATTGGGTATTAATTTGCACTGTAGAAATGTGCTGCAGCTGAAGACTGTACTCCATAGTTCTCTAACTTTGAAATGCATGATTTCCCCAGTCATTTTCTTGGCAGCAGCTACCATTGGGATATAAGTATCTTTCTTCCCAGGGTCACTGAAAATATATTTACTGAGAACCTATTACGTTCCAGAATCTGTTCTAAATGCTGGAGACAGTGGTGAGCATGATAGACAAAGTCCCTGTGTCCAAAGACTGTACATTTTGATGGGGGATACAGACAATAAACAGGCAAATCAATAAATATGGTAATATCAGAGAGTTATAATTGCTATGAAGAAAGTAAAACAGGTGATAATATATGGATTGAGATACTGGCACTGGATGGCCATTCTGTAGACAGGCTACTCTGGATAGAATGATCAGGGAAGAGGTGACATTTGAGCCAAGACCTATAAGATGGGAAGGAACCAGTCACGGGAAGATCTGGAGAAGACTGTCAGGCAGTGGGAACAGAAGGGGACAGTAAGTCAAAGGCCTTGAGATGAGAGTAGGCTTAGTGAATTTGAGGAACAGAATGAAAAGTGGCTGGGGCAGCATCAGAGGTACACTAAGGTTTGATTGCCCTGAGTCACAGCCAGGCCAAGGTTGACACAGCCGTTCAAGTCACTGTTCTTTAACAATTCCATGTCCTCCATGTCTCCAATGGCCAACTGTGCCCCAAAATGCCTGCTAGACAAATCCAACTGACTGACCCTCATCTGAGCGCCAAACCCAGGGAATGGAGCACAGGTGACCCCCACAAAGTATAAGGTTGGAGTGGGGCCGGATGAGTCTGACCTCTCTGAACCAGTTGTTGAAATCTGATGTGGGCTCCTTCTAGAATTTAGCTGTGGGCCACAGAGAGATAGCTGGAGCAGGGCTTCTCAGGTGGCAGGCTGGGACAGTAGGGGCAGGATGATGGTAAAGAGTGTTGGTGTGGGAGATGGGGTGGGCCCTGAGGGAAGGATCCAATAGCAGTGAAGGCAGAATTTTGCAAGTCCCTTCAGAAAAAAGTCTTCATTTAGTTTCTTTTGCCAGCCCTGGAAGCCATGGATACTTACTCTGATGAGCCAGTGACTTTCTTTCTTTCTTTTTTTTTAAAAGATTTTATTTATTTATTTGAGATAGAGTGGATGCACAAGAGAGCATGAGCTGGGGGAGAGGCAGATGGAGAGGGAGAGGCAGACTCCCCGCTGAGCAGGGAGCCCAATGCGGGACTCTATCCCAGGACCCTGGGATCATGACCTGAGCCAAAGACAGACACTTAACTGACTGAGCCACCAGGCGCCCTGAGCCAGTGATTTTCTAACCAGCCAGAACTTATCTAACAGATCAACAGGATAGTACGGCTCCACTATTTTTTCAGAAACCTTGGCCCACCCAGGCTGATTCCAAACTATATTGGCCATAGACTCTAATGTTGCTTTGGAATATTTCTCTACATGCTCTCTGTTTTTAATACAAATACCTCATTTTCTATGATGAAAACAGAGAGAGAGGGGGAGGCAAACCCTAAGAGACTCTTAACTCTAGGAAACAAACTGCGGGTTGCTGGAGGGGAGGTAGGTGGGGTGGTGGGGTAACTGGGTGATGGGCTTTAAGGAGGGCACTTGTTGTGATGAGCACTGGGTGTTATATGCAACTGATGAATCACTAACTTCTACCCTCAAAACTAATTTAAAAAAACAAACAAACAAAAACCCCCAAATACCTCATTTTGTCAGAAGGATCATACCTTTCCTTTATGAGGAGAGACTCTTCATTCTCCTCTTTGGATATCCTTGTAGTAGTTACCACAATACTGGGCTAGACTGTTTTTCCTCAAGAGGCAACTGTACTGCGAGGTCAGGATGATTTCAGGGCAACTTCTCATATAGCTTAATGCCACAGCAGGAGATAAGTTTTACTGATACCACCTAACAGCTCATGATGTCAAAATGATACTTACACTCTGGGTTTCCCGATTCAGGCTATAGGGGACGAGAAACTAGGTATGGGGCTACTTACCTGTTATTCCTGCAGCGAATTGTGAAGCCAAGAAAGAAGACTATCAGAAGAAGTCCACAGCTGAGAAAGGTCCAAACAACACCCAAGAGGACAGGAGATAATGAAGAAACGGTCTTACCGCTGTAGTGCGAAGAGGTCTACGAACAGAATAAAGAGAAGCTGTTAGGAATGAAGGCTCTTTTATAGATCAAACATGAACTGCCCCACCATCCCCAAAGCTAGGAAATATGTGTCCGGCATGAACATTTCCTCCTCCTCTTCCTCCTCCTCCTCTTCCTCCCCCCATTTCCTCTTTTTTGTCCTCCTCCTCACACTACCACTGCACCCACCACCACTAACAACAACAACAATGACAATGACAATGACAACGACATGTATATCTGAGCAGCCCTGACACCCCCTGGCTATTCACTCACAATTGTCCTGCAGAGATCATGAAGAGGACTCCGACCCAGCTCCTGGCCAGGAATACCGTCACACAGTTCGGAACAGTTTATTTCAGGCTCCATGTCATCACGTGCCCCTTTCGGTGTGCGCTTATTCAGTCGTGGTTACCTGCTGGTCGTTAACCAGCACATCTTAGACCAAAACACAAGAACAATTCAAATCTTTTCTTCAGAGGCACCATTTTGGAGCTGGCTCTTGGCTCAGCATCTGGGATGAACAACTAGTTCAGGCGGAAGCGAAGGGTTATTTCACTGGGCTCCTTCATCAGACACCCTCCAGGCTTTCCTTGTGCCCTGGCAGTGCACACCATGGGAGTCAAGAGGGGGCATCTTTGTAACCGTTAGAATCACACAAAGTGATGATTCTGGCTTGCCACCAGATGGCAGTCACTGCTCCAAGTACTCTCACACAGGTCCAGAAGGAAAGGAAGGCAATTAAACCTGTGAACAAACAAATTATGTGTGTGTATATATATACACATATATATGCACACACACATTACATATATAAAAACATATATAACACAAATTATATATATTACCTTAATATAGAATACATAACATATATATAAATGGTTTATTACAGAGGTTTAAGAATATTATTTTATACATTTTAATTATACATAGTTATATTTTCATTTTATATATGTACTTTATTACATATAACAATGGCTTGACATATATTTAAATAAATATATTTTAAGCCTCTATAATAAAAACATTTTAAAAACAAAGACAAAGCTCATTTAACAATTTATAGATATAAAGTTCAACAGTCTCTTTCCAGATCCTATAAGACCTTTAGTTTAAACATGTGAGGCCCATCTCCCTTTTTTCCCTACTGGGAAATCCCCTGTCCTTCCAAAATCTTTCCATGCAACTCATGGCTTAAGCCCTGTCTGATCCTGAGTGGCAGTGGCCTTGGGGGACCCATGCTGTCTGCATGAAATGTCTTTCAGTCATTGGAGTTCTTGTTCACTCAGTGAGTGGAGGAACAGTCCATGTCCAGGCAGCGGGGGTCTCAGAATGATACAGAAACCCTTTGCAAAGAGGTTTTTGTTTGTTTTCAAACTTGTAGACTCCTAAAAGTGGGATAGTGTACTCAGGTAATAGGGAGAGAAACTGAGGGGCTCTAGGAATTCCCACAGTGTGAATGAGTGGCCAGAGGACGGTGTTATTTCTCTTAGAAGATGCTTGCGATATGACTATTGAGATCTAAAAGGAAGCTCAATTTACAGAACAAAAGTAGAAATGCAGAAAGGCTCAGATTAGCCTCAACAGAAAAGGTAGACATGTTTCTAATTCTTTAAAGCAATCTATCCCTTGAAAGAGAAAACAGATTAGAAATTTTACCAATGGGAACTTGAAAGAGGGTGCCACTTCTGTTTTGTGTTTCTGAAACAGCTTAGCACAGTTTTCTTTATTGTGGAGGGAACTGGAACAGGAAAAAAATATCAATTATTATTATTTCAATAGCCACTGAACATAGAACTTGTGTTTAAGCCAGAACAATAGTGACAGGTGTAGAATGCCATCTTTGGATTCTGCATGCTTAGGCATGAACAATATAGCACCAGGTGTTGCCCATTCATTGGCCTCTCATATGTTCCTGAATTATTTACCAGGTTCATTACAATGAAATCCCAAGAGAACTAAAAGCCACGATCTCCCATCAAGACATTTAAATTCTTGTACAGACTGTCCAATTACTGAATGCAAAATTAAGAACTAAATATACAAATGTGGCTATTTGCATCTTACTTTGGTTGAAATTTTATTGCTGCAAAGACTATTTTTTTTTCTTTTCCTCTTTTTAAGCTTAGACATCCCCTATTGTGTCTTCTAATATCATAAGCCCAAGGAAACTATTCTACATAATGGACTGAAAGATTTATTTTTCCTATATTGCCCTTTTAATCATGCTGACAAATAAATACTTATATTTTAACCATTAATAAGTCCATGCTAGTTTATCTTAGCATCATATAGAGGTACACATCAGTGTGTGTGTGTGTGTGTGTGTGTTGGTGTATAAAACCCCATTCATTTTTACTACAACAATGTCATGTGAGGTAAACAACAGCATTCCTCATTTTTATTTTTTT